TTCTGTAATTAAAACTTAACTAATTGTAGAAGCCAGTGGCTCCTTAGACATTCTATTTAGTCTGTAGCCCTGCATTAGTTGTGCCTGTTATTGCTCAGAGTTAAAAAAAAAAAAAATGTAATAAAGGATTTGTATTTTACTTCTCTATTTTATTGTTTTCATAGTAAGATGTCTTTGACGTCTTTAACCACTGTTTGCTATCACAGGACTGCCAAAACAGTCTAACCTCTTCACAGTGTATTGCCTCATCTTCCCCTCATAAACCTTCTTGTTTTGACTCTTTGTGCCCGGATTGTATAATGGCTCCTCTTCAGTTACTGATAGACTTCTTTCCCGCCTTTTAGCTCTCTTCCCATCAGCCTCTCAGCAGGTCTCTTTCTTAGATCCACCTGTCTGTGTGCCGAGCTCTGCGGAAAGCACTAACATATTCCCTTTGTTAGCCGTGCCTCCTACACAATTTGTTTCCGCTTGGATGACCTTGACTGCTCCAATCCCAAAATAGACCCTGCACACAGGTGTTTTTTTATCGATTCCTCAAGACTGAATTATCGCATGCAGGTTTTCTTTCTATAAATGGAAGATCTGAATCTTACACTATCAACCCTCTCCTGCCAAGTCAAAGCAATCTGTCGTTTGGCATTCAGCTTTGCAGATTACTTGTTGCTATGTGAAAGTTTGGCTGAAGGGTTTATGTTTGGAAAGTCGTCACATCTCTGGAATAGATTTTCTGTCCATTTGGTTTGTACTATAAATACTGCATTTATAGGCCTATTTATTGAGAAGGCAAACATTTAGTTGATGTCCACAATGAAACAGTGGTTGCATTGACAGACATGACAACTCAATTTTGTGTTCCTGGCCTGAGTAATTAAGGTAAATGATTCAGTCTGTGAACAAACCTGACAGCCTCATGTCTAAGCTTATATGATTCCCAAGGCTTTATTTTAATTTAAACATTGGTTTAGTGTAATGCGTTATAAGTTAGCTCACTAGGTAGAGCATGGTGCTAGCAACACCAAGGTCATGGTTTTGATTCCCAGGGAACTTATAAAATGTGTCCTATCAGTAGGGTTGCCAACCGTCCGGTATTAGCCGGGACGTCCCTTATTTTGGGCCTAATTGATTTGTCCCGTACGTGAATTCCCTTGTCCCATTTTTTGACTGCTACACTGATCTATCCACTGACTGATACAACAGCAGCAGTGCTGATCACTTGAGAATGATCACCGATACCTGTCATCATCCAATCACAGCCCCCCTCACGCAGAATACGTTAAGTAAATCAGAAATCGTCAACATAAAGGCTGAGGAACCCTCTGACGGCTAGTCGCTCCCGCCTCAGAGCAAGCGGTGCTCGTGCTAACGCCAATTCCGTCCGTGTTTTGACTTCAGTAAATCAGTTTTGGTGAATACAAACAACGTGATTATTTTTCATGAGTCCAACATCCCGCCGCGCAAGAGACGTGATCAGTAAGGGAAGTCGTCTTTCACTATTGTAATGTTGTTAAATAGAGAAAAACATTTTATATTTAAGTAACTAATAGCATAATTCTTAACCTTGGACCTTATTCTTGAAACACAAAATGACCAATAAAAAGGTGTCAAGCATCAAAAGCAGCCCATATTAAATCTATAAGCTGTCTTTAATTGAAAAATAATATAATATAGGTGTGTGTGTGTATACACGGTCACTCACCCCCCACTTAAGGTGATTGTCCCGTATTTTCATTTTCTGAAGTTGGCAACCCTACCAAACAATGAGCAACAGGACATTTCATTGGCAGGTTAGCATCTATTTGTTCTGTCTGGGTAGTCCAATTCACAATGAGATCTCAATGGTGCAAATAAAAAAATGAATATCAAAAAATACCTAGAATATAGCAGACTGGTTTCAGAGGGTTTTTGACCACTTCTTTAGCTGGTAAGACTAGGAGACCAGCTGACTGACCAGCTAAAACCAGCTTGGCCAGGCTGAGAGACCAGCTTGACCAGCTCAGCCAGGCTGGCAGACCAGCTAAAATCAGCTAAGACCAGCTGGTTTTAGGTGTGTTCTTTTTCAGCAGGGATACTTATATTAAATACTTACATTAATAGCTAACATATGCAATCAGCTATACCCTTATGAAAATTAGCCATGGTTTTACTACAAATAAAACCAAAAAACATGATTACTATGTTAAACACAAATTAACCATGGTTTTGCTACACTAACCAACCATAGTTTAACCATGGCAGTAAAACTGTGGTTATACAAATTGTAATTAATACGCAAAAAAACATGGTTACTACACTTTTACTACAATAAAACCATGGTTAAATTTTATAAGGGTGGAAGTCAGTTTAAAAAATACATAGCCAATGTATAAAATTAACAGTGAGTGCTAGCAAGCTGCTAACAGGGTAGAAATGATCAAGTAATACACTGCGATATGAAGTCAAGAAGGATGTGCTAACAAGCTAATAACCAAGCAAAGCAGAAATTTAGATACATAACATAAAATCAACAACAGATATGCTAGCAATCTGCAAAAAGAGCAGAGCAAGATTGAAAAATAGTTCGCTAACATGAAATAAACAACAGAAGTGCTATAGCAAACTGCTGACAGAGCAAAAGAGGTCTACTTAGCTAACTATAACTATAGAAGTGCTAGCAAGTTGCTAACAGAAAATCTGATTGAAAGATACATAGCTAATAAATGAAATCAACAATGAGTGCTAGCAAGCTGATAAGTAATATCTAAATTTGACATCAATATTAGATGTGCTAGCAACCTTCTAACAGAGCTGAGTAGATCAATATACACTAACATATGAAATTAACTATTAGTAAATAGCTAGTAGACTGAAAACATTGAGTAAAACTGTTAATATATGAAATCCAGAATAGAAGTGCTGACAAGCTTCCTGAGTGTTTGCTAATCTCCAATACGTCTATAGGACATTTCCTATCAGATGTCAAATAGATGTTTAGATGTCTTTAAGATGTTTATGATTTAGAATGTATGTAAAAATGAGATCTTAAAGACGTCTATCAGATGTTTTTGCACAGCAGATGCTTTCCAGATGAAGCGAACTTTAGCAGACATCTAACAGACGTACGTGTGCTATATGGGCTGATAACCAAGCAAAGCAGATTGAAATATAGTTAACAAAAAAAATAACAACAAATGTGCAAATGTGCAAGCTGCTAACAGAACAAAGTAGATCAAAAATACCTAACAATACAAAAATATAAGTACTAGGAAGTTACCCTTATGAAAATGAACCATGGTTTTATTAGAGGAAAAAGTGCAGTAACCATATAGTTTTTTTGACGGATTGATTACCATTTGTATACCACAGTTTCACTACAAATACCATAGTTAAACTATGGATAGAGGTTAGCAAAACCATGTTTAATTTGTGGTTACCATGGTTTAACTGCAATAACCATAGTTTTTTGTTTTTATTTGTAGTAAAACCATGGTTAATTTTCGTATGGGTAATTACATGGAGTAACAGGTGAGCTAATACAGTATATAAATATTTAGATTATTTTAACAAGCAGAAATAAATGTGCTTTTCTGAGCAAAATGACATTTGTTTGAAATGCACAAGGTGGATTTAGAGGGGACTTGGGTATGAGATGGATGCCGCATGATATCTCTAGTAGACCACGGGGATGGAGCATCAGTCTCTGAGGACGCGGCTGGCTACTGGGCCACAGGCTCGCTCTCCTCATCCTCAAGAAATAACTTGCCTACTGTCGTGCCATCTCTTAGTGTGAATTGAGTCTATGTGTTGCCAGTGGTTATAGATGCTATCAGTCAAGCACCACACATGCCTATACCTGCGCTCTGACGCCGGCAGCCAATCTATATTCCGCTGGAATGTCGAGAGCATGTGTTAGCTGACAAACAAATAAAGCCAACAGTCGGTTTGATGGGGAGGAGACGAGAAAATTAGAATTTGAACGAAGTTTGACAATAATTCCCACGCTTGACGTATTAGCAGAAAGATGGTTCTCACTTCAAAGGTCTGAGATGGAATTAAATATCCACCCCACTGAGTTTTTGTCACCGTTTCTCTGTAAAGCCGCAGTGATTTCACATCTCTCTCTGGCAGGTCTTTGATATTAATGCAGGTGTTTTTTTTCCATGCGAGAGGAGG